GGCTCCTGCCACCCTGCAGCTGAGCTCCCTCCCCAGGAATTCCCAGCCTGACCCCTCCACGCCACCGTGGGCCCTCTGGTTTCCTGGTTTTCCACCAGGAAAACCCTCTGGAGCAGACGGTGCACGAGGCTGCTCAAAGGGAATTAGGCTCGCAGAGAGGACACTCTGGGGGCGTGCTGCAGCCTCTAGAACCTCTGCAGAGCTCGCTGCCTGTCTGCAAATCCCCCACATCCCCCTGCTGAGGCAGAGCTCCTGACAGGCAATCCCTGCCTCACCACAGCTCCGAGCCAAGCCCAGGGAGCTCGTCAGGAGACAACTTCCACACTGCAGAAAGTGAGAACAACATTTAGACACAAAACATGTGCTGCTGGTCAGGAACAGAAACAGCCTGGCTGGATCAGCCATTCCTGAGGTCTCTCCTTCCAGCCCAGCCCAGGCTCCTGACACCCCACAGAGATGCAGGATGAGAAGGGACTGGCTGAGAAGCCAGCTGAGGACACTGCAGCCTGGCAGAAAAGCCTTTAGGGGTGCAGCCCACCAGGAATGAACTCGTCCTTTGCAGTGCCCACCCTGCAGAGAGGCTCTCGCAGCCCTGGCGCCTGGCAAGCCCTGCAGGAAGGGAAGGGCAGGATGGCACCACAACCCCGGGACACGCTGCAGGGACGGGGCTCTGCAACCACAGCCCCCCAGGGCTGCACAGTGCACAGCAGCTCTGCCTCCCACCCCAGGCAGAGCTGCTCCTGCAGCTCCCAGCCCACAGGCACAGCCCTTCCTGGCAGCCGTGGGCGGGTGAGGAGCACTTTTTGTGAAGGATTGCTCACACTTGGAGCTTTTCCCTGGTTGTGCTCCTCTTTAACTCGGTCACGTCTCACCCAGCCCAGCCCAGCGGGGTTTCAGGGAGCCAAGAGCCCCGGGGTACAGGCAGATCCCTAAAATTCTGTATTTCACCCAGAAGGACCACCCAGCCAGGGGAAGCCCCAGGGCACCACACACAAGAGGTCAAACACTTCTACCACTTGTGTGTGATCCAGGGTTGTTTGGTATAAAACTGCCTAAATCAGCCCCAGAGTGCCAAATTCAGTCCCAGACCCCAGGTTTTTCCTGGCTTTTCCCATCACACACCAGCAGCACCTGCCAGGCTTTTTCTGTCAGCTGCTGCTCCCACCTCAGCAGAACTCTGACCATCAAACACAGGTACCTGGGATTTGGGAACACAGAGAAAACATGGGTAGGAAATCTGTCCCTGGTTGGTTGGGGTAGAGGAGTGCTCGTAACACTCACAGGAACAATGTTTTTAGGGAATGGTGGGAAAGGGAAGTGCTGTGGAAGAGGCAAGGACCAGTGGCTAAAATGAGTGTCCACAACCCAAACTCTTGTGGTTCTGCAGGGAATCCATGCAAACAGGAGTTATGTTGTGTGTCTCCATTCTCCTGGGAAGATCTTTAAGACCCCATTTGGATCACTAAGAGCAACAATTTATAAGGAAATTTATAAAGAAGTTATACTCTGCCCTGGTGAGACCCCACCTGCAGAGCCTCCAGCCCTGGGGCCAACATCAGGAGGATGTGGAGCCCTAGGAGCCAGTCCAGAGGAGCCACGGGGCTGCTCCAGGGCTGGAGCCAGGCTGGGAGAGCTGGGAATGTTCAACCTGGAGAGGAGAAGCTCCAGGGAGAGCTCAGAGCCCTGCCAGGGCCTGGAGGGGCTCCAGGAGAGCTGCAGAGGGACTGGGGACAAGGATGGAGGGACAGGAGCCAGGGAATGGCTCCCACTGCCAGAGGGCAGGGCTGGGTGGGAGATTGGGAATTGGGAATTGTTCCCTGGCAGGGTGGGCAGGGCTGGGATGGAATTCCCAGAGCAGCTGGGGCTGCCCCTGGATCCTGGCAGTGCCCAAGGCCAGGTTGGACACTGGGGCTGGAGCAGCCTGGCACAGTGGGAGGTGTCCCCAGGGCAGGGGTGGGATGGGATGAGATTTAAGATGTCTCCAGCCCAAACCAGACTGAGATTCCATTCCACAATTCCCTCAGTGCTCTCTGGGTCCGTGGCCCTGCTGGGGCCTGTGGAAGGTGACCCAGTGAGCAGGGAGGGATGGATGAAGGTCCTGGGACACTTCTCCATCCGCACACCCAACCCCAGCAGGACCATCCCAAGCCTGCAGCATGGCTCTGGTGATCAGAACCAGCTGGTGCAGAAGGAGGTGGTGGTTAATGCTCCTGGGAGCAGGCACTGTGCTGGACTGGGGGAGCTGTGGGGTCACAGGGGTGACAGGTTAATGTCACGAGTGTCCTGGAGCCGAGGGACAGTGCTGGGTTAGGGTCACACAGTGCTGCTGGCACTCTGCAGTACTCACCTCCCGACGGCCTGGGCACCCAGAGTCACGGCAGCTCCCGGCTCCTTACGGGAACGCAGGGCAAGGGCAGGGGAGAGAGCTGGGCTGCTCCAGGGCCGGGGCTGGGGGCACCCGAGGCTGCCCCAGCTCTGTGTGCCAGCAGGGACACCCAGGCCCAGGAGAGGCTGCACGGCCACAGAGGCTGGGTAAGAGCACTCCTGGAAACAGGCACTGAGGGGCTCGGGGCTGCTGCTCTCCCAGGCAGGAGGGGAATTTGCTGCTTGCACCCCTGCACTGCCCCAGGGCTCCCAGAACACTGGGGCCAGCCTTGCCAGGGGCAGCCCTGGATCCCTGCCCGGCTTTGTCCCCATCCTCCGTGGTGGCAAAAGAGACTGGACACAGCTGGGAGGATACACACACACGGCCTTGGAACATCCTTGGAACATCCTTGGAACAGCCAGACCTGCACCTGCCCGGCTCCTGCAGGTCTGGCTTTCAGTTTAAACTGATCTGCAACTTGGAGCCAGGTGACAACTGTCCCTCAGGTGAGACAGGAAGTAGCTACTGGGATTGTGGGTTTGGACTTCCTTGTAGGTTTGGGGAGGTTAAGGTTGGATACTGGGAAAATTTCCTTATGGAAAGGGTTGTCCTGGCACAGGCTGCCCAGGGCAATGCTGGAGTCACATCCATGGAGGATGTGGCAATGGGGACATGGTCAGTGGTGGCCGTGTCTGTGCTGGGGAATGGCCTCAGAGGGCTGTTCCAACCCAAGCCTTACACACCCCTCTGATCCACGAGAAAACATGGAAAGTGTAACTGAACTCATTCTAAATCTGCCCTAAAACCATGAACACAAATAAAGAAGGACTGCATGGACTGGGGAGGGAGTCAGAAATCCCAGAGGGTGCAGCTCCAGGCAAGTCCAACCCCCCTGCTCCTGCTGGGATGTCACCAGGTGCCAGCACCTGCCCTGTCCAGCACCACAGCAGCGACTGGGATGTGGAATGGACATGATGGAGAAGAGACTTGGGGCTTTTCCCCCACAAAGGGGAGTGGGAAAGCAAAGGCAGGAGAGCAGCAGCATCACTGGATTCAGGGGGGATGGAGAGCAGAGAGGACTGCTGTCCCCCAGGAGCTAGGACTGGCAGTGGCACTGGGAAATGTCTTTGCTGGTGACAGGGACACAGAGCCAGGGCAGCCCGCACCTGGCAGGGACATGGAGCTGTGGGCACACACCGCAGGGACGGGATGGGGCATCCAGGGGCACCTGGACAGGCTGGAGAGCTGGCACCGTGAGCCTCCTGCAGCTCAGCAGCACCAAGGACAAGGTCCTGCAGCTGGCTCGGGGCAATCCCAGCACCAACAGCCTGGGAGAAGGGACTGGGAGCAGCCCTGGGGAGCAGGAGCTGGGCATTGGTGGGAGAAGCTCCACTGGACCTGGCCACGAGCACTGGGAGACCTGAAATCCCCGTGCCCTGGGCTGATCCCAGCAGGAAAGGGATTGGGATTGTGCCCCTGTGCCCCTGAGCCCACCTGCAGAGCTGCCCCAGCCCTGCCCCAGCTCAGGAGGAGCTGGAGCTGCTGCAGAGAGCCCAGGGGAGGCTCCAGGATGAGCAGAGGGATGGAGCAGCTCTGCTGGCAGGAAAGGCTGGCACAGCTGGGATTGTTCACCTGCACAGGAGAAGCTTTGGGCTGAGCTCAGGGTGGCCTGGCAGGGCCTGGAGGGGCTCCAGGAGAGCTGCAGAGGGACTGGGGACAAGGATGGAGGGACAGGAGCCAGGGAATGGCTCCCACTGCCAGAGGGCAGGGATGGATGGGAGATTGGGAATTGTTCCCTGGCAGGGTGGGCAGGGCTGGGATGGAATTCCCAGATTCCCCTGGATCCCTGGCAGTGCCCAAGGCCAGGTTGGACACTGGGGCTGGAGCAGCCTGGGGCAGTGGGAGGTGTCCCTGCCATGCAGGGGTGGCTCTGGGTGGGATTTAAGGACCCCCCCAATGCAGCCACTCTGTTTCATGATTCCCCAGAGGGATGCAGCAGCAGTGCCCCCAGTGCCACGTCCCTGTGCAGTGCCTGCCCCAGGTGAGCCCTCACCTGCTCCAGCTCCTGCTCGGCGTACTTCTGCCGGCTGAGCTCGTTCTCGGTGCCCTCGCGCAGCTCCCGCAGCCTGTGTGCCTCCTGCTTGGCAATGCTGATCTCGTCCTGCAGCTTCTTCTCCAGGTGCACCTTCTCCACCTCCACGGAGCGGTGCTCCTCCTGCGCCTTCTGCAGCCTGCAACGCACACAGAGCCAGGGCAGTGCTGGGCCGGCTCCCTGGGCCCCAGGCAGCCAGGGGCTGCCCTGCAGAGCCAGATCTGTGCCCTGCTCTGCCCATCAGAGCCAGATCTGGGCTGTGTCCTGCCCTGCAGAGCCAGCTCTGGGCTGTGTTCTGCCCTGCAGAGCCAGCTCTGTGCCCTGCCTTGCTCACCAGAGCCAGCTCTGCTCTGCTCTGTTCTTCTCATCAAGGCCAGCCCTGCTCTGCTCTGCTCTGTTCTGCCCTGCAGAGCCAGCCCTGTGCCCTGCCTTGCTCACCAGAGCCAGCTCTGCTCTGCTCTGTTCTTCTCATCAAGGCCAGCCCTGCTCTGCTCTGCTCTGTTCTGCCCTGCAGAGCCAGCCCTGTGCCCTGCCTTGCTCACCAGAGCCAGCTCTGCTCTGCTCTGTTCTTCTCATCAAAGTCAGCCCTGCTCTGCCCTGCTCTGCCCATCAAAGCCAGCCCTGTACCCTGCTCTGCCCTTGGGGATGCCAGGGAAACAGTTCACCATGGCTGGGAAGAAAGGAAATTGTCAACTGCTCAGGCTCAGTTTGATTTGTTTATCAAATACCCAGGGTGCATTTTCTTCATTTCCCACAGCACACCCAGATTTCCTCTAACAAGGCTCAAATTAAGCTCAATTTTCAGTATTTTCACCCAAACGAAGCCTTTGATAAAACAAAGCAGGGGAAGATCTGCCAGAGCACATCAGGCCACCCAGACGGGACGGATCCACGTTCCTCCCAAAACATCCTGCAAACTCAGACATGCCTGCATCTTGCCTGGACCTTCTTATTCCTCTCATGACAGAACTGGATCCGTAGGAACTTGTGGCAGCAATGAAACCCTGAATCTCCATGGATCAGTGGGATCCTCCATGAGGAGCTGCCCTGTGCTGAGGCTCCCAGCAGGGCTGTGAGCCTGGCAGGGCACCAGCTGGGCCAGGGACCCTCAGAGAGGATCCCAGTGCCACCTGTCCCCGGGGAGATGGCACCCACCTGGAGCTGTCCCAGGGAATTCAAGTGAGACCAAGAACTGTCCCAGGGAATTCAACAGAGACCAAGAACTGTCCCAGGGGATTCAACAGAGACCAAGAACCGTCCCAGGGGATTCAACAGAGACCTGGAACTGTCCCAGGGGATTCAAAAGAGACCAGGAACTGTCCCAGGGGATTCAACAGAGACCAAGAACTGTCCCAGGGGATTCAACAGAGACCAAGAACCGTCCCAGGGGATTCAAAAGAGACCAGGAACTGTCCCAGGGGATTCAACAGAAACCAAGGACTGTCCCAGGGGATTCAACAGAGATCAGGAACTGTCCCAGGGGATTCAACAGAAACCAAGGACTGTCCCAGGGGATTCAACAGAGATCAGGAACTGTCCCAGGGGAGTTCAACAAAAAGCTGTCCCCAGGGGAAGACATGGTTAGCCAAGACCATTACCAAGAGGAATTCAACAGAGACACGGAGCTGTCCCAGAGTGAGGGTGACAGTGAAGAAGAGGTGCTGCAGAACTGAAAACACGTGTTGACACAGGCTGGCACAGCCCTGCAGTCACCAGGACACCCCACACGCCCTGCTGGCACTGCCCGGGGCCCGTCGTGCCCCACAGCCATGGGCACTCACACAGGTGACACGCTGTGATGTGTCCCCCTCGTGCCTGGCCAGGGGCATGAGCAGAGGTTTGGGGTGACGTGTCCCCCTCGTGCCTGGCCAGGGGCATGAGCAGGGGTTTGGGGTGACGTGTCCCCCTCGTGCCTGGCCAGGGGCATGAGCAGGAGTTTGGGGCACGGCTGAGGGGTGTTATGGCTGTTTGCAGCTGAGCAGGGCAGGGGCAGCCCCTGAGGCAGCGGCTCCTGGGGGGAGGACAGACCATCCCCAGCACCAGGAACCAGCAGTGAGACCAACCTGCCATGGGGACACCTCCCACTGTGCCAGGCTGCTCCAGCCCCAGTGTCCAACCTGGCCTTGGGATGCAGGGGCAGCCCCAGCTGCTCCAGGCAACCGGAGGCTCACGTTCCAGAAGATTCCACACAATCAGCTCTTCCACACTTCTCCAAAACAGACCTGCCCACTCCTTCCAGGCTTCACTAGGACGTGCCAAGACTTGATGATCTTGATGAGTCACTTAATGGACTGGGAAGTGCCACTACTGCGGGGTGTTCTCAAACGTGCTCTGAAGATGAATAAAGGCTGGGGTTTGGAATGAACATTCCCAACTCCTCAGAGCGTGTCTGAGCTGCTTAGCACATTCCAGCAGCACTGGAGAGGCACTCTGCACCTTCCAGAGGTCTGCTCAGCACTGAGCTTCACCCAGCCACTACAGCAGGGCCCTTCGAGCCCTGGAGAAGAAATCTCTGAGCACAACTTCTCCCCAGGCCCCGGAGCACCAGGGCTCTCCGGAGCTTTCTCTGCTCCTGTGGCAGCTGAAGATCCCCGCTGGACCCCGCTGGGCCAGGACGAGGAAGTGAAGAAGGAGATTTCCCTCAGGAGGCCTGCCAAGGCCCCCAGCTCACCCCCGTGTCCCCGAGCTCCTGCTCGGTGCCCTCTGTGGAGGACGAGCCCGCCGAGCTGCTCCGTGCGAGCACCGGCGGTTTTGTGTTGCTTCCTGAGGGGCTTTAGAGCATTAGTTGAACTTCCCAGGAACATCCACTTGTTTACGTGGCTCTGCCCTCAGCAGCAGCGCCCAAGGTCGCTCCCCACAGGCGCAGTCCCAGTTTGGAGCTCGAAGGTGACACCCAGCTGCTCCAGGGATGGACACAGGGAAGGGATTCCTGTCTCCTTCCAGATGCAGGAAAAATAAACCAAACTTTCTCTGGGAGGGCTTCCAAGCTGTAACATTAAACTCCACGAGGCTGTGTGGAAGCAGCTGTGGGCTGGAGCCACAGAAGGGAGCGGACTCTGTGCCAGGGGAAGGTCCCAGCGTGGCTCCATCACCTGGGAGCTCGCTCTCCTCGCAGATACCAACTGGTGCCACCTCACTGGGGAACAGGAGCCCTTCCAGCAACGCTCACGGGCAGGAGGAACCCCTGGGGGCTGTCATGGGCTCGTGGGCAAGAAGTGAGGCTGCAGACCTGGGCATACACCGTTCAGAATCCCAAAACTGGCTGGCTGCAGCTCTGCAGGGCAGCCTGACGTGCTCAGGATCCTGGTGCCCGCACAGGGCACTCACCACACCCCATGATGAGAGCCTGGCATCAGACTCATGTTCACAGAAGTCACTGGAAATGCAGCCATCAGCTCCCAGGGCAGCCTGGTTAAGGTTTGTCCTCCCAAACTCCACTGAAACCTCACGGAAAATCGTTCCAACCCCAGACTATCCTGCTCTGTTATTTGCTAAATCTGCCCTTAAAATATTCCATTGCCAGAGCACCCCACGGGTTTGCCATCACCAGGGCTGATGGCTCTCCCTGTCCCAGAAGATCCCTATGTCCACAGGCTCTCTTGGAGCAAGTTCTCCCATCAGCAGTTCTACTGGAACCATTGCAGTGATTCCTGGGAGTAGAGACCTCATTCCTGAGGCTGCAGGTGTTAATCCACATGCCAAAAGCCCAGATATTCCTATTTAATACTTCAAAATGATGTATGCAACACCCTTTTGACTCAGGTATTGCTTCCCCACACAGCTCCAGGAATTCAAGAAGGGATGTGTAAAATCCCTGACTCTCCCACTGCTCCAACACCCTTTTTTGCCATCAAAAGCCAAGGTGAAACAACCTTGGATGACAAATGCCACATGAGCTGGATGGCATGGCAGGAGTGGGACTGGACAAGCTAAGGTCCCTCTGAACCCAAAGCATTCCCTGCTGCTGTGACTGGGAAAGAACAAGAACAACCTGCTCCAGGAGTCCCTGCAGGAGGAGCCAGCCCCAGCTGAGCTCCAGGGGCTGCTGGCAGCTCTGCCAGTCCCTCAGGAAGGGGCTGACCGTGGTGAGAGGCTCCACGGCAGCTGGAAACAAGCATTTCCTGAAACCTGGAGGCACAGAACCGTGCAGGAAGAGCCCAGCGCTCCAGCAGCACAGACAGCAGGAACCTACCTCTCCTGTAGGTCATGGAGAGACTGCTCAGCCCTGTGGAGACCCTCCAGGTCCTTCATCATCTTCTTCATGTGCTCCTTGGAGTAGCGGTTCTGGATGTAGGCAAACCAGCAGCCGCCCACGCCGATGACGATGGACACCACCAGCATGAAGTCCTTGAGGTGGTTGTGACGAGTCACTGCGAGAGACAGAGACCCTGCTGGAGCCAAAGCACCCAGGGAGAGCTCCAAGGGCTCTGCCTGCACCAGTGGGACAGCAGAACTCGGGGCAGTCTTACAGGGAATCGGGGCACAGCATTCACCAAGGGAAACGCTGAGCTGTGCCCGTATTTCAGGGGGAAAACAGAAGCTTGACAACATTTATTCAATTGGCAGGCACAGCCACAGCAACAAAAAGATGAAATTCCGAATCTTCCAGCTTCAATTTGCCTGGCAATAAGTGGTACAGGGGAAACTGCAGATAGGAAACCCTCCAGAGTGGCTGTGATCTCACAGAGCAGCACAGGTAACTAAGAACAAAATAAACATTTGGAAAAACACTGCTGAGATCACAGAGCTGGGGCAGCTCAAGTGTCCAACTGTCAAGTTGCCAAACTTTCCATCAGACTCACAACTCAGTGTGGAAATTCTCTGTTTCAACAATTAATTCAAGAAAAGGTGTTGATGCATGTGAGAGGATGAAAGCAATTAAGTGGGGGCTCAAGTGCTAAACAAAGCCCAAAAAGATGAGTCAAGCAGATTTTTTTCCTCTAACTCAACCAAGTGTGAGCGGGAAAAGCCACAAACAAAAGAGCAGCTCAGTCCAGTGAGCTGGGACTTAATGATCAGTGTAATTTGGTTTGGAACCAAACAACAGGCAATTCACACCAGATAGAAGGAAAATGCCTGTACTGAGGGGGCAGGCCCTGGCACAGGGTGCCCAGAGAAGCTGTGGCTCTGAAGCTGTCCCTGCCATGGCAGGGGTGGGTTAGACAGGAGCTGGAGCTAAACCACATCTGTCCCACTGGCAGAGCTGGGGGGGACACAAGAGGGGACCTGGGAGGTGGAAACCCGAGTTGGAAAGGCAGAGCACAGCACGGAGTGACCCGGATGGACACGCGGGGCCAGGGCTGCTGCTCCCTGCCCGTGATGCAAGGCTTTCCCTGCGGAGGGAGAGGGACAGGACCCCTCCCCAGAGCCCAGGAGCCAGCCAAGCACCACCTCCCCCAGCACCTGTGACCCATCACTGCCTGAGAACAGGCAGAGCAAAGCCAACAGTCAGAGCTAAACAAGGCGAGCGCTGGCCCCGCTCCCTCCGGACGGATTCTCACAACATCCTCTTCCAGGGAGCAGATCCTGGCAAGTGCCTGCAGATCCCTCAGCCCCAGCCCCTGCAGGTCCCATCTGGAGAGCAGGGGGCTGACATCCTCTTCCAGGGAGCAGATCCTGGCAAGTGCCTGCAGATCCCTCAGCCCCAGCCCCTGCAGGTCCCGTCTGGAGAGCAGGGGGCTGACGTGTTCAGGTGCTGTGTGTTCCACCCTCCCACAGCCACCACAGCCACCACAGCCACCACAGCCCTGCTCTCCCACCCACCCGGGGCCACTCCTGCCAGCCCCACCCCAGGCTGGTCCCTGTCCTGGCCCTGCTGCCAGCTGTGCCCAGCTCCAGCACAGCAGCACTGCACATCCTCCCTCTGCACCAGCGCTGCCCAAAGACACGGGGATAAGGAAACTGAGGAAAACTCAGCTTGGATGGAAATGCAGAAGCATGGGATGCCAGGATGGTTTAGTTTGGAAAGGACCTCAAATCCCACCCAGTACCACCCCTGCCATGGCAGGGACACCTCCCACTGTCCCAGGCTGCTCCAGCCCCAGTGTCCAACCTGGCCTTGGGCACTGCCAGGGATCCAGGGGAATCTGGGAATTCCATCCCAGCCCTGCCCACCCTGCCAGGGAACAATTCCCAGTTCCCAATCTCCCATCCAGCCCTGCCCTCTGGCAGTGGGAGCCATTCCCCCTTGGCCTGGGCCCACAGAGCAGAGGGGCTCCAGCCCTGGGAGCATCTCCATTTTCTCACCTTCACTGTAGATGCTTTTTTCTGGTATCTGATCCTGCAACCCTCCTGCAGCTCCAGACCTTCCCCCCTTGTTCAATCATTTCATTCTTTCAAACACCAAGCCCAGGCAGAGCTGCAAACCCAGCAGGACACCAAGTCCTGCAGCTGAGCAGAACAATCAGTCTGTGATAAAACTGTGCCTGCTCTCCCTCCTGTCCCAGAAATAAAAGGAGATGAGAAAGGGAGAGAAGTCTGCTTTCCGTGGTGTACGTGGCTTTTCCCGCAGCCTTTGCAGGTGCGGGGTGAGCCAGGCCTGCCTGGGGCTGGGAGCAGCCACGGCCACAGGGTGCAGGACAGGCTGTGCCAGCCCCTCTGAGGGCTGAAAGCACAGCCAGCTGCACAGAACAGTCTGAGCCTCGGCCTCGGGCTCTGCCCAGGGCACGGGGGCAGCAGGGAAGGAGCTGAAGTGACAGAAAGTTCTCTCCCAAGTTCAAAAGCAGCAGAGCTGCACCTGCAGAGCTCCAGCCCTGGGACACCAGCAGCAGGAGCACCTGGAGCTGCTGGAGAGAGCCCAGAGGAGAGCCCTGGGGCTGGAGCCAGGCTGGGAGAGCTGGGAATGTTCAACCTGGAGAGGAGAAGCTCCAGGGAGAGCTCAGAGCCCTGCCAGGGCCTGGAGGGACTCCAGGAGAGCTGCAGAGGGACTGGGGACAAGGATGGAGGGACAGGAGCCAGGGAATGGCTCCCACTGCCAGAGGGCAGGGCGGGATGGGAGATTGGGAATTGGGAATTGTTCCCTGGCAGGGTGGGCAGGGCTGGGATGGGAGATTGGGAACTGGGAATTGTTCCCTGGCAGGGTGGGAAGGGCTGGGATGGAATTCCCAGATTCCCCTGGATCCCTGGCAGTGCCCAAGGCCAGGCTGGACACTGGGGCTGGAGCAGCCTGGGGCAGTGGGAGGTGTCCCTGCCATGGCAGGGGTGGGATTTGGGGTCCCTTCAACCCAAACTATTCTAGGATTCCATGTTTCACCTGAAGTTGTGGTATTTTGTGGTAGATAAATTCCTGAACCACAGGAGCAGGACCCCAAAGGGACAGACACAGCAGGAATCACCTCATCTTGCTTACATTATAATTGTACCACGCTCGCTTGCACTTGGATTAATTGCAGAGCTGAAGTGGTCAGACCTGTTTGCTGGAGGAAACGGCAGGGCTGGAGTCTGGCAGCAGGAACCAGACCTGGGGGGATGGCAGGAGCCTGCAGATCCACATGGAAACTGGCCATGGAATCTGGCTGAAACCCCTGCCACGAGCCAGACATGCAGCCCTGGGGCCCTGGGCTGGGCAAAGCTTCACGCAGCAGCAGGAACAGCACTATGTCCACCTGCTGTGATCCCCACGGGCAGCAGGTGTCTGGATTTAGGAGCCTGCAGGAGGAGGGGGGCTCCAATGGAGGCTGCTTTTATCAATGCTTTTACACCTGTGGTGAACAGAGCTTCAAGAGAGGAGCCAAACCCTTGAACTCTGTTCCTGTGCACCACTTCCCACTGCCAGCAGCTCAGAGACCCCAGCTCCCCTCCAGAGCCACCTCCCCTGGCCATGGGAAAGGAGGTGCAAAGCACTTGTGCAGCTTTACAGGTCACTGAGCACTGCCCAAAGCTGCCACTTGCTGATGGCTCCTGAAAGGTGTTTTGCAATCCATTCCCGAAGGAATTGGTTTAGATAAACAACCACACCCCGTGACTGGAGACAAAGCCATCCAGATGACCAGAAACCAGCAGATTTTACCTTCTGAAAAGGGATCAATCTCTCCTTCAGCAGCAGATTTAAAGTGTATTTCCTCTTCTCACACACCCCGAATACGCAGTCATAGAACCATGGCTTTGGGTTGGGAGGGACCTCCAAGCTCATCCCATTCCGTGAGCAGGGACAACTTCTACAGCACAGGCTGCTCCAAGCCCCCAGGCAGGAGCTGGGAGCTGGATGAGCAGCCTGGGCTGGAAAAGCCCCAGGCAGGAGCTGGGAGCTGGGTGAGCAGCCTGGGCTGGAAAAGCCCCAGGCAGGAGCTGGGTGAGCAGCCCTGGGCTGGAAAGGTCCCAGGCAGGAGCTGGGAGCTGGGTGAGCAGCCCTGGGCTGGAAAAGCCCCAGGCAGGAGCTGGGTGAGCAGCCCTGGCTCTGGAGCACCACGGCTCCCTGCACACTTTGATCTCCGTGCCCCAGGGAGGGTCAGGCTGCAGGGCCAGGGAGCTGCAGGGCAGAACGAACAGCTCCAGCATGGCAACAGACATTAATTCCCAGCCAGTACAAGCCATTCACTCTGCAAATTACATCTGCCATTTACACAGCACAACAAGTCTGTAAAAATTCTGCCCCCAGCACAGGAGTCGCTGGGCTGGAGCCACTGCTGGAGGAGCTCACCCAGAACGGCTCCAGCAGCCCTGGCCAGGCCACCAACTCATCAAAAACCTTCACAATTAACACAGGCAATAAATAAAAACCAAACTGTGCCTGTGCAAAAAGAAACTTCTCAATAACTGAGCAAAAACGGCTGATGGTGCAAGCCAGGCTTGTGATTCCCTTTCTGTGGCTCTGCCAAGCCTCACGCTGTGGTCCACACTGTGCAGGCAGTTTTCCCAGGATTGGGTGGGAATGGCTGGAGAGCAGCCCTGGGGAGCAGGACTTGGGGGTGCTGGAGTGGGAGAGGCCAGACAAGCCCCAGCCACGAGCACTGGAACCCCAAAATTCCTGTGGTGTTCCGTCTCACAGGCAGCAGGAAAGGGGGGATTCCACCCCTCTGCACCCAAAGCCCAGGAGAAAGTCATGCCAGAGAAGCAGGGAAACAAAAGCACCTTCAGCAGGGAGCAGCCAGGAGCCAGAGGGAACTGGGAGCACCTGGAGCGTGGAGATCCACATCAGAGAGCTTAAGATCCTGATAAGCATCAAAGGAGCCCAGGGCCTCCCAGCAGCCACCCTGAACTTCCCATCCAGCCTGCTGCTCCTGCCCTCCTCCAGAGCAGGGTAGCTGACAGCCTGAGTCACCAGCAGAGCCTCAGGACACAACAGTGGAGCCCCAGGAAAGCCCAGGATCATGAGAGAGCTCCAGGACATGCAGCAGCTGCCCTGGGAGCAGGCAGGACTGCTGCCTCCAGCACCATGGAAGGGCAGCAGGTTTTACCCTGCACACAGGAGATGCCAGCAGGACAGTGGCAGATCCCAGCTGCACCTCTGGGAGAGCCCTCTGGGAAGGGCATGCCAGCCCAGGATGCTCCAGGAATCCCAGACCAGCCCGCTCCTGCTCCAGGGGACTGTGCTGGGAGGACTCCCCCGGGTGAGGCTGCAGTTTGGGTCACCAGGCCTGGCTCTGGTGCCCGGTCTGAGCACCCCTGGTGGCCTGGGGGTCTCTCCCCAGCCTGGCAGCCGGGTTTGGGTACTCACACAGAGGAGGCCCGAAGAGCACCGTGTCCAGAGCCTTGAGCTGCAGCTTCTGCCGGTGGCTGCGGTCGGTCATCTTGAGCACCGTGCCCATCATGGTGGCGTTGTTCACCGCCAGCCTGCACGGGAGAAACGAGCTGCGGGCACATCCACCAGGGCCAGCAACGCAGCAGGCACCAGGGAGCTGCAGGGCAGGGCCTGGGCGCTCCCTGCTGCCAGGGCAAACCCCTCGCTGCTGTGGGCTCTAACCAGGGTGTCTCTGGGACACTTTGCAGCGGCATTTTTGGGACTGGGAGAGCGCAGGAAAAAACAGGGCCAGGCCTAATTCATTAACCTGAGAGCATGACAGACTGATTTCCCATCAAAACCCATCTTTTGGTGTCCTACCGATCACTAATAACTGTTTTTTAACCAAATCCCCGTTGCCTTTACATC